TGGCCCTGCTGTGGTCCATCCTTGGCCCTGCTGTGGTCCACCCTTGGCCCTGCTGTGGTCTACCCCTGGCCTCATTGATGCTCTCACCTCCCGCTCTAGGGTCTTCCTCCTAAGCAGTTTCTTCACACTCGGAAGCTGCTTCTTTAACAGCATGGTGGCTTCATTCATCCTTCTTACTTGGGTGATCAAGAACGATGGCACCTGCAGAAGAAAAGGGCTTGACTAGAAAGGAACATCTCAGCAAAAGCATCCTGGTCGACTGAACCTTCCGTTCTGGAAGCTACTCTTCACTCTTCATTATCTTGGAGCCAGGAGATGTGACATCTGTCTTTGAGATTAGAAAGGTGACAAGGATTTCCATTCAGTTTAGAAAACATACTTAGAACATATTTAAAGAATGTCCTGTTGTCTCCAAGGGGAGGTGGTTCTAGGAACCCCTTAGGTTCTGAAATCCTTGGATGCAGGGAGCCCCTTGTTTGTCCAGGCCACCCAGAACCAAAATAATCACACAAAACTCTATTAATTAAATCACTGCTTGGCCCATTAGCTCTAGCTTCTTATTGGCTAATTCTTACATCTTAATTTAACCCATTTCTATATCTTAATTTAACCCATTAATCTCTATATCACCGCAAGGTTGTGATATATCTATCTCTGGCACATCTATCTCTGGCGGTGGATCCATGGCGTCTCCCTGACTCTGCCTTCTTCCTCCCAGCATTCAGTTCATGGTATAGTGTTTGCACATAGCCTGCACAAATCCTCCTCTACCCTGCAAATCAGCTATGATTCACAATACCTAACCAATGCACACACTGTGTAAGGTACTGTTTGCTTTAGTGTATTATTTAGGGCCTAATGATCGAACAGCTCAGGATGGTCGCAAAACTTTGGGAAGACAGCTGGAGTTATGGTTGGTTAAATCCTGAGCTCGAGAGCCTGTGGATAGGGAAGGCTGATGGTGTATGGATACCATGAGCTCGAGAGCCTGTGGATAGGGAAGGCTGATGGTGTATGGATACCATGAGCTCGAGAGCCTGTGGCTAGGGAAGGCTGATGGTGTATGGATATCATGAGCTCGAGAGCCTGTGGATAGGGAAGGCTGATGGTGTATGGATACCATGAGCCACTATGAACTGTTTTCTCTTCCTTTTGTGTCTTGGGTTGTTTGATCCTGGCTCACTCACATCTCCCGGCCCCTGGTATAGCTCGTAGGGACACTGGACAGCCACAGAGCGGTCACTCACCTTCCACAGAATTTTCTGGTACCTCAGCATCAGGCGGATGATGTGGGCTGCGGTGTTGGCTAGCAGCAGCTCTTCATAGTCGGAGTGCTTGCTTCTGCTGAAGAACAAGTTTGGCGCCATCACCGTAGAAATGTTCCACAGGCTCATGCGGTTCTTTGACTCATTGGCAATGACTTTATTGAAGAATGTCATCAGCGCCTAACAAGAGGCGGGAGAACCATGTCATGCCACTGCGAACCACTGACAGGCTTCCCAGATGGCGACCACTCCTTCCCACATCCCTGCACTGTGTTGCTGGGAATGCGTCAGGAGGCAAGTGTGACCAAATGTGTCCTATGTCCCCTTAAGATGCTTGGAAGAAAAAAGCGAGCAGTTAACTCAACTGTCTGCTGCATAAAGTAGTCCCCTTCTTAGGGGCTTACTACCATGGAGTCTACAGATAATAGACTTACTTTTTTTTTTATCCTAAACAAGCTTGACAAATATTAAAATTAAGTACCAACCAGGGAGAGGAAACATTGCAGCTCAAATAAAATGAAATGCAGTTTTGTTGTGAAGGAAGAAAAATAATTCTCTAAGCAAAACCCCCTTAACGGAAAGTCCTAGTGCCGGTACCCGGTTAGTGTTTCCCTGAGAGATGAGAAATGGTTTGAACAACAGGAGCCTCTTCACACTCCTCGCAGATGCAAACGCAGCTCCAAGTTTTAAACGAGTACTTTAGACATAACCTCTTTCTGCTGTTTCTCATGAGCTTGCTTTGCTGCTCATACCGGCCTCCAACTTGTGATCCCCCTGCCTCAGCTTCCCGAGGGCTGGCATTATGTGCATGCAGCACTGTGCCTGGCTCTTTGGACTGCATTTTAAGTGTGGAATCTTCCCCTGGCACAGCAAGTGTCTGAACGCAGCTTTTGTAAGCATTAGAAAAAATAAGAGACGCTCGGTGAGTTTTAAAGTGTACGAAACCACCAAGATGCAGGCACTTACGAGAACCTTCAGCCCTCACCAAGAGGATGGGAAGCCCAGAGGGAAGCACTTTGTTCTCTCAAGTCTGGATTCTAGCACACGTGTATGTGTGTGTGTGTGTGTGTGTGTGTGTGTGTGTGTGCGTGTGCACACACGTGTGTGTTTGTGCGTGTGTGCATGCATTAGCTTGTGTGTATACAGACATGCATGTACCACGGCACACATGTGGAGGTCAGAGAACAACCCTTGAGAGGCTGGCCTCTCCTGTCTGTGTCTGTGGGATCTGAGGACTGACTTCCAGCGCATTTATTTCTCTCCCTGAAGCTGAAGCCTTCTTAGTCAGCTAGCCTGGTTGGCTGGAAGCCTCTGGAATGTTCCTGTCTCTTCCTCCCCAGTGATGGGATGACAGATGCATGCTGCTACAGTGGCTTCCCCTTTAGTGGCTGGGGATCCAGATTCAGGTTCCCATGATTTCAGCAGGAGCTGTTCATTGACTGAGCCATACCCACAGCCCTATGGCAGTCTTTTTGATCAGGAAATGTTTAGCATATAACAGTACTAGCTAACATTTATTTGAGTGTTTATTATAACTCAGACATTATCTTCAGTGATTCATACTTATTTTCCTCCGCTCACTATCTGTCTAGGGTCTATTAGGCAGAATCTATTGTAACTGTTGGAAAGGTAGGACATCAGCATGGGGGAAGGACCGAAGAGCTCCGTCCAGCACCAGTCAGCGAAATGGTGACACCAAGGACCTGAACTAAGGAAACCCATCCTCTGGCTCTGCTTCTACCTTCTCTACAGCATCCTTTCCTCCAGGCACAGCAGAACAGAAAGAAAGAGACTATGCTCACAAGTGCATGTATGCATGGGTCGCCCCATGGGCTTTGTCTGAGACCTTGCGTTAGAAGCGTGTTGAACTATCTGCTAATTGTTACATCCTCGGGTATATGAGAAGGCCGATGGCATTTTCACTAAGACATCTGATGGCAGATGGAGTTTCGTGATAAAACAACACTGCTTAGGCAGCGCCCCAAAACAAGTAAAAATTTGTAACCCTTGGAAAAATATTGACTGATATTAAAAACTGGCATCTTAAGCTTTGCTGACCCTACCCTTGCAATGAGCATGTAAGACATAAAACCTGTGTTTTATGATGTGGGGACAGGCTAGATAAAACCACAGGGGCCTGGAATTACCAACAATCCCCTTGCCTCAGATTCCAAGGACTAGCTAGGGTTACAGACATGTGCCATGTGTTTTGAAATCGACAGAAAAGTTTCCACCCTGTGGGAAAAGGGATCTACCCCCTCTCCTGTCCCAAGCCATGCAGACAGAAAGCAATCTGACGTCTTCGTTTTCTGCATTCTGTTGACTGGCCATAAAATCAAGGGTTCATCTTACTTCAGCCTCAATTCAAAGGTTTCAAGCATCTGTTCTGTACACACCAGCTTTCTAAGACACACACACTCATCCCTAAAACTGCAGACAAATGCTCACATTACTAACACATGACAAAGAAATGGATTGGAGAGGAAGGGAAGTTGGGGATAGGGAACTGCGAATGCCAGTCACCCTGCCACCTGTCAGCAGGTGAGTCCCTTCTCCGGAATTTCTTTTTCCAATTTGGAAAATGACCAGACTCTACCAGGTGACATCTAAACTCCTAAAACCTAGAACGATTTAAATTATGCTGTGTGTCTATGTTCTAAAGTAGGTACTTCAGAAATCTCATAGCGCAGAGATCTCAGATGCCCTCCTCGAGGGCTGATCAGTACTCTCCCACCAGGCCGGAAGAAATCACAGGACTGGACAGGAGCTAACCGCTCTCACGGGATCCAGATGTGGGGCCATGTAGCCTCTCATCTTTATCTCTCCCACTTCCCACACTTAATCCTGGCATCTGCTTAGACTCTGGTCATGCTCCAACTGAACAGAGGGAACTGAATATTAATGTTCAAAGAGAGTCCTAGAACTTCCCTTCTTTGTGCCTTCCTCAGCGTAACAATACCGGGAGCACGTGAGGCAGTGGAACTGCATCTCGCAGGGGCTCTGTGAGCCACCGTATTCCTATTTTCCCCAGGTGAGCCCCGTGACAGATCCTGAGGTCGATGTCACTTACCTGGGCTGTGTCCCTGTTGGCATCAGGCAGGGCCATGACCATGAGGTGCAAGGCTTGAAACTGCACTTTGATGTGAGGCCCTCCTAACGAGAAGACAGAAACGATCACACGCTTGAAGTCACACTGATGGGCACTGACAGCAGCCGCGCTGACATCTGGAGGCGCAGGAGGGCGCTGACAGCTATGGGGAAGGACTCGGGTTTGGAGCTCAACAATGTTAATTTGTTCATTTGGACAGGAGCCCCGGTCTGTCACCCCCTTGCAATCTCATGATGCCTATTTACAGGCAGGTAGCCAAGAAGGTCCTCTAAATAATTCTAGACTTACATGACAGCTTCATTTTCAACGAGCATACATAGACCTTTCCTTACTTCGCGAATAGAAGACAAAGCTCAGTTCAAGAGCAAATAAACACTGCACACAAAGGACACAGCAGCATACGAGGGTGGAGGATGCATGCTCTAGACCCGGTCTCCAACCCTGCATTCAGTACTACGTCATTTAACCCCTTTGCTTCCATTTTGCCGTCTATAAAACCTTGTTAGCTCATAGGGCTGGCCTGAGGACTAAGTGAGCCAATGTGTGCACAGGGTTCATGCCAGTTCCTAGAAACAGTCGTCTCCTGTGTGGGCACATCGGTTTGATGACTAATGCTACACATGCCTTATCTCACATAGGCATTTAAGGGAGGCGACTAGCTAGTTTTCGAGTGTTGAGACTTTTATTCCCTAACAACACCAGATGGCACCAGAGGGCTGGCAGCTATGCTGAAAATGAAGCGTCCATTGAAGCTTTCCTTCACTGCTCACTTCAAAACGGTCTGCTGGGGCAGAGTGTCTGCAGAAGGCGAGATGCTCTGGGGTCCTGGGGAGTTCTCAAGCTGAAGGGCACCCTTGCAATCAATTCACCGTCTGTGGCTGGAGGCCGGCAGACGCTCGCCGAAGCATTGAGCATCATAGCAATGCAACCGTCAAGTGGGAACCTACTGCGCCAGTGGGGAGCTGGTGACAAGTGTGCGCCTGCTGTGTGGGAGGGTGGGGCACCCACAGATCTGACTACACCGACTCCGAGTTATCCACTTGGGTTTTAGGCAACCACGCCCAGTTCTTAGGCCTGGAGGAATACTGAAATGTACATTGAAGTGAACATACATAAGTAGCAGGGCCTATGAAGCGTGTGCCCAGTGCCAGGCCCAGATGAGACGCTATTTTACGCAGAGAGCCTTCTCCTCGGAGGTGATCAATCCCAGAACACCCCAGGGAAAGGCATCAGGTGCAAGCGCAGGCGGGGCAGTCCTTCTTTCCACTGCAGAGAATTACAAGGTTTCCTTTACAATTGTTAAGTCTGCTTCGGCAAATTTTCCGTTTCCGTTTTCATTTTGCTGACGGAACTTGTCCGGACACGGTCTGGTTAACCGTTTGTGGGTAAATTCATTTAATGCCTCTTAGCATGGAGCTTGCTTTCTCCCAAAGTTGTTATTTTCCCAGGAAGTCATGATGCTTTTCATGGAAGTACCTAAGTCTGGCTGAAGAACTAGTTAGTCCTTCACTGAACCAGCCATGTGGAGGCCAAGGCTGAGCCACTAACTGCATGAATGATAAACAATATGTGCTTTCTGAACTCCGTCTGAGTATGAAGAAGGTAGTTCCAACACAGACACGTGTGTACATACGCACACACGCACATACATATGTCATGGCTTCCTCATCATAAATCTCATTGCACCATGTCCTTCCTTCAGGTGGCAAAAGGGGCAATTATTTCCCCTGATCATGGGCCAGAGCTCTGAGCTCCCTGCAGAGTTGGCTGGAATCAGATCAATCACCGGCAAAGAAGTACTTTCCCTCGCAAAGTTCTACAGAGACGTGCGTGCACGCTCTGTGAACTCTCTCGGGGTATTTTTTTTTCAGTCTCCCTTGTAGAGAAGTGCACTGGCTGCTGTGGATGGAGAATGACGGGCGGTAGGGAGCTCACACTCCCGTGTGTTGGTGTCTGTGTGTGCTTGTACATGTATGCCTCTGTGTGTGCGTGTGCACGCGCGTGCATCCATATGTGGAGGTTGGAGGCCAACCTTCAGTGTTGCCTCTCAGCTGCCCTCCACCATTCATTGAGACGAGGTCTTTAATTAGCCTGGAACTTTACCAGGTAAGTTAGACTATCTGGCCAGTGTGCTCTGAGGGGCCCGCCCATCTCTACCCCCATCTTCCCGTCACTGGCATTGCAAGTATGCACTACCATGCCAGGGCTCTTTACACTGACTCTGGGATTGAACTCAAGTCCTTACGCTTACAAAGCAAACGCCTTCCTTCCGGAGCCCTCTGCCCAACAGCTCTGAGTAGCTCTGGCGTGGGAGGCGTGGGTCCCCCATCTGTAAATTCACACTGCCGGGCCACACAGATCTGCTAGGTCAGCTCATTTCAGCAAAGTTGTTTGGTGTACGTCAACACAGAGTAAGGAGCAAACTGTTTTCCTCATTGAGAACCAGTGTTCTGAATGTTTGACCTAAAACAGGGAAATCTGGTGTGGTACTGTATGAGTCTGGCCGATGGGCGGTCCTACAGGTCTTACTGGCAGTCTCTGAAAAGCACCCACAGTCACATAGAGCGACAGAGAGGAAACAAGAGTGGGCAGACTGGAGAGGCCGGCAAACTCAGGGCAGGGACGTGTGAGATGCCCACAAAGACTCAAAGATAAACAGAGAATCCTGCACTGTCTGCCCTGAAACTGGGACAGGGTCCGAGGCAACTGGACCCTGGAATGTTACGGGGGAACGAGATACAGAGAGGTGAGGCTTTAGCTCCGGAGCAAGCCATACCGAATCTTAGGCCAACCCGCAAGCACACATGTATGAGGTGGCAAGACAGAGGGTGACGGATGAACTGGAAGTCTTGCTCACTGGGTAACGGACTAGCTATGCAAACACGAGGACCTAAGTTTGGATCCCCTGCACCTACATAGAGAGCTCGGTTTGATGGGAAATACCTATAACCTTAATGCTAGGGGACAGAAATAGGCAGGTCGTGGGGGCTCGCTGGCCAGCCAGTGTAAACATAAGGTGAGCTTTAGGTTCACGTAGCGATCCTGTGTCAGAAGAAGCAAGAAATAAAGAGTGGAGCGTGGCAGAGGAGGATACTTGAAGTCAACCCCGGGCTTCTGTGTGTGTACACACAAAAGAACGCAAACGCGCGTGCACGCGCGCGCGCACACACACACACACACACACACACACACACACACACACACACACACGACAGGTGGCAGCTTTGGTCCCACCTAGCAAATGACTTATTTAAGCACAGCAGCCCAACACAACACCCAGAACAGAATCGAAATTAACTGCACACACAGAGAAGTGTATGTACCCATTCTAGAAGAAGACCGGGATCATGAGATAAGCCAGGGGCTGGCACTAGCAGATGAGATTTTTAAGTGGCTCTCAGAAATATGCAAACAGTGTGAAAGAAAACATGCTTACAGTGAATGAAAAAAAAACAAAACAAAACATGGCCTGTCAACATGAAATTAAAATATTTAAAATAAGCATCAACTGCAAATTCCAGAACTGATTTAAAAAGAAAAAACTATAGTATCTTTAAAATTTGAAAGTTTCTTTCTCAGCAAACTAAAACAATCAGGGACAATTATCAGATTTAGGTGTGCAAGCCCAGGAGAGTCACACTTCACTGTGTGGGACTCGGCCGCTCACTGGCTGCATCGACCTCCTACTGTCTCAGTTCCACCGCATTTCATTTCTTCACTTACTTTCCATCAGCGTGATGAAGGCGGGGATGTACTCGACGGGGAAGAGGGAGGTAGGGAGTTCTCTGAAGAACGCTTTCAGCATCACTGCCGCTTCCCGGTGACACATTTTGTCCCACTTGAACTTGTCAGCATTGAACTTGGCATCCAGTTCTTCACGGTACTGCTGCAAAGCCAGGGAGATGATCAGTCCTCGAGGGTGCCGAACGCCAGGTCCTCTGTACCCACTATCATGACACAGGCTGTGCTTTGGCAATTAGACGGCTAAGCAACTGCTAACACTAACCCTCCCATGTGACTAAGACCTGAAATACCTGCTTGTGAATTCACTTTTAAAAAGCCCTTTCAGAGGTAGCCTGAAAATAGTAGTAATCTTGAAACAGGTTGCTAATTCTGCACAACTCTAAAAGTTATTAACTGAGTCTGTAGCTTCACTTTTGTGGTTTTGGCGGGAAACCACAGTCCCCACATGATAAACGCTTTGTTCAACTCTGACAGAACCACCATTTTATTTTTGTCATAATCCTTCTGCTGCCCACACTTTTGCTTCTAAGTCAGACCAGGAACGCGTGTGTGCAGAGAAACGTCCTAATAAAGTAACTCTGACTTCACTGTGGCGTGCAGAATAATGACCTCTTCCTGGAACGGGTACAGCAGATCTCTGCCAACACACATACACGCACACACATGTCTTCCATATGTTAGCACGCCTGCCCAATCCTTGCTATGGTCTGCTGCACTGTGCAAGCAGCTTGTGTTAAAACAATGGGTCGCCGTAAGTTCCACTCACATTAAGTTCTACTCAGAAAAGTCTGCATTACTGCTTCATCTGCTTCTCGGTGCAAACCAGATTTCATGGCTCTTTACCAAAGTCATCCTCACTTTCTACCAGTCCCTTGAACACCTGGGTTACCTCAAACACTAGGCAGCTGGAGTCGTTTCCCTGACTGATGTAGGTGGGTCTTATTTCTATGTGTGGCTTTCATTGGTTAATTAATAAAGAAACCGCTTGGCCTGATAGATCAGAACATAGGTAGGTGAAGTAGACAGAACAGAATGCTGGGAAGAAGGCAATGAGGCAGACGCCATGATTCTCCGACCTGAAATGGACGTGGGTTAAAATCTTCCCGGTAAGCCACAACCTTGTGGTGATATACAGATTATTAGAAATGGGTTAATTAAGATGTGAGAGTTAGCCAAGAAGAGGCTAGAACTAATGGGCCAGGCAGTGTTTAAAAGAATACAGTTTCCGTGTAATTATTTCGGATGTAAGCTAGCTGGGATCTGGGCGGCGCGAACGCAGCCCACCGCTCCTTTTGCAACACCTGACTGATGCCAACTGCTTGCTTTAAAGAGGATACTTAGACAGGACTCAGGTAACCTTCTGCTTTTTACAGACTCCGCTCCATTCTCATGGGAACCTACTTCTAGCCTTAGACAGAGTCAGCCACAGACATTCTGTTCATCTCACCCTCTCCTCTCAGGACCAGCTCACCAACATGCCGGATGCAAATGCTTCCATGGCTCCCAGAGCCTGCCAAACTGAGATTTATGTTAAGCTTGCTGAGAGATGTGTCATTCTGATCTACCCTTTCAAAAGCAGGGAGCACTTAGGCAGGGAACTAATAAGTATGCATCCATCCTGGGTTAAATGGTGAGATTCTGTCTCAAAAATCCAACCAAGCAAGCAAGCAACCAGCTAACCAACCAACCAACCAGCCAGCCAGCCAGCCAAACAGCTAACCAATCAATCAGCTAATCTATCAGTCAATAAAAACCCATTTTTTGTTTACCATTTAGGAGAACACGGGCATAGTCAAAGTCATGTCTTTGGATCTCCTTGTAGCGCAAACATAACTATACCACTTTTTGAAGCATTTTCACAAAAATGCAAACAGCTAGCCTGAAGCCACCAGCTCTGGGAGAGAAACCAACACACAAGGTAATGTAACTGGGGAAGAGAAAATCTTATGTGTCAAACCGTCTGCCTTCTTGCCTAAAACACATCCCAGTGTTTGGCTCAAATTTCTCCGATGTTTTGAAAAGAAAGTCATTGAACATTCCAAAGCATCAAATTGGTTCCAAATGATCTGTGGGCCTTAGATTTGGGAACTGGCTTTGCAGTAATGTCCTTGTTTGGCTCCAGCTGAGAGCAGCTTCCTCTCAGGCCTGAGTCCCTGTCTGTCTCAGGAATCATCTAGAATGGGAAGCCATGGCTGGACCAATCAATGCCAGCATCCCCAAATGGTTGATGTCGTTTACTTGGCACAGATCAGGAATGATTGTAACAGATTTTAAAAAAACTGTCTTTCCCCAAGCTTGTTCCATAGGACGTGTAGTGCAGAGGGTGACATTATAGAAACCAAACCCAAGTGAACACAGGTACTGAAGGTTTGAATAAAGGAGAGACATAAAGGCCCCGGCAGGATATCGCGTCTGTCTCTCCTAACCTCATTTCCTTGTTTCTACTCACTGGCCCAGATGTCTTCCACGCTCACTTTCCTACAACCAGAACTATGAAACATCTGAACTGAATTTTTTTGGCTTAACAAGCAGCAGAATAAATCGACCGACTCAACATCAAACCCATTAAAGGAAAAGACGTGGCCCCAAACGCGGTTTGGGAATGTGTGTATCTAAGGACACGCGGAAAGGGCAGTCAGCCTTTGCTCAGCAGTTTTTACACAGAGGGTTATCTGAAGAAAAGTAACTCTGCTCTCATGTTAAACTTGGGGCACGTAAGAACGTTTTCTTTTGATTGTGGAGCTGTGCAGAGAGAGGGTTAGGGGAACGGGGTCTGATTCTGGTTTGGAAGCCCGATTCTTTGGCTTTCTTGGGGGCTCTGACTCCGCTGATCACCTAAGATAGTGGAAGAGGTCCTAGTTTCCCTGCTCGCTAGTGCACGCATTTCCCCGGGAAACATGCAAGGAAGGAAAATGATAGGAATCAGGACAGAAACGCTGCAAGAGCCACTGGGAAGTGACCTGCCTTCCAAATGAAATCCTGTCCGTGTTTGCTCAACTCCTCACTGAAGGGAGTCATGATTTCCAACCTGCCCTGCTTCAGATCTTCCTTCCAATGAGAACTCGCCTCACTCTTTCACAAGAGGTTCAGGCAGCTGCCTCTCTCAGCTGGCCACTCCTCAGCACCTGCCGCAGCCCGCTCTTTGAAGCAGACCTAGCCTGTGGCTGAGCAGGCAGATGGTCCAGGCCTGCTTCATTCCGCCCAGTGCTGGAGGAAACGGACAGGCTCGTACCACAGCCCATGCGCGACTGGTTCTCTTCCACTGCCAATCCATGTCTCTCTGGAGGACCCAACAGACACAGCCCACTTGTTATCCTCCCATCTAGAAAATATCCTGTTAGGGTCCTGCATTTCTACCCTGACAACGCTCATAGCAATAGACCCCACGCAATGTGTACTAAAATGAAGTAAAGAAGGGATGCCTTTCTGCCTCTGTGTGCTTCCTTTTGTGGGTCTATCACAATTAGCATATTCTCATAACCACATGAATATTCTTCCCAGGGCTCATCACTGTGTCCACAGATTGGGGTGACCAAAGATTGGGGTGACCAAAGGGTGGGCACGAATGCTTCACTGTGTGTGCCCCTTGGGAAGCACAAAGGGATATTTTACTAGGAATTTGTCAAAAATGATTCTCTTCAAGGGCCATTAACAGCTCTGTAGAGCTTGCCTCTGTAAGGGTGTGAGAAGGCAGGGCTAGCAGAGCCACACTGCTGTGCTGGTGTTAGACGTAAACGCTGGACGTTACCATAAATGGAATTGGGGTTTGAAACAGCTGAGTGAGGATTCCTGTGGTTATGCTCATATTGCCACAAATTCTTAGAAGAAATCCCACCAAATGGAGAGCCAAAGAACGTGTCTCTGCTGAGCTCAATTGGTAACGGAAGAAAATAGGCTCAATGACTTCAAAGTTCAGAGAAACTTTGCAAACCAAAGTGGTTAATTCCCCAAACAGGGATGGGTGTTTTAAACTTCAAAATGAAGACACAGCAGTTTGGATGGTGACTTCGTGTAATGTTTCCTTATTCTAGGTTTGATGAATTGCAGCATGGGAGAAAATAGACTCAGAGATACTGAAGAACATTAAGGCGAGCCATGGGGTACTAACAAAGGAATAATGACAGTCAGAAAGATTAGCTCAATGGAACTGGTTGTGGTGGTCTGAGTAAGAATGTCCCCACAGGTTCATATATATGGATGCTTAGTCATCAGGGAGAAGGACTGGGAGGTGTGGCCTTACTGAAGTAGTTGTGGCCTTGACGGAGGAATTGCGTCACTGGCATGGGCTTTGAGTTTTCAAAAGCCCAGGCTATGCCCAATCTTTCTCCCTCTCTCTACCTGCCGATCATGATGGAGCTCTTAGCTACTGCTCCAGCACCATGAGCACCACGGAAGTACAACACTGGCTAAGATTGGCTTATGTCTTTGTCTACGAAGGCAGAGAACATTGAGTACCTTGACTTTGGCAGTACATCCAGAAAGTCGAAAAATTCCTTCCGATTCCAGGCCCGATTCCTCGACTTTCTGAAAAAACTAGAAATTGACAATACATTACAAAAATTGAGTACCTCTGCATGACTGCAAACATTCTAAATAATGAGGGCAACAACCAGTAGACTGCTAAGTACGTATATATACCGGATATATGAATGATTTCTGAAATGCTAATGACCTCTCAACAAGGTCAATGTTCCCTCCAATTGGCCAATGAGTGGATTCTCCGTGTAGATCTATGCCATAGCTTCTCAACATTCCCTCTGAAACAAAGCACTGACTCTACAGGGCATGTTCTCTTATCTACTATGATATTCTGCCAACTTGGCTCTTTCAAATCTGATCACTATTTCTCTTCTGCAGACCAACCAATAGGAAAAAATCGTAAATCAACTATATCTACAGCCATACTACCCTGGATGCACTCAATCCCTTCTAAATCTACTCTCATTAGTTACAAAGACCCTGATTAAGACCTTGAAGAACTCTACAAGACTAACCAAGGACTTGGAAATGTAAGAGTTAACTGCTCTCTTAGATTTTCATGGTGGTGATGATGGTGATGGTGCTGTGACAATAGCAGCAGTGTTGATGGTGGTGATGATGTTGGTGGTGATGATGTGATGGTGGTGATGATGTTGATGGTGGTGATGATGTGATGGTGGTGATAATGTTGATGGTGGTGATGATGGATGAGAGGGTAGAGATGATGTTGATGGTGGTGATGATGTTGATGGTGGTGATGATGTGATGGTGGTGATGATGTTGATGGTGATGTTGGTGATGATGGTAAGAGTGGTGATGGTAGTGATGATTTTGATGGTGATGGTTATAGTGGTAGTGTAGGTGGTGATGATGATGATTTTGATGATAGTGGTGGTAGAGGTGGTGATGGAGGTTGTAGTGGTGTTAGTAGTGATAGTGATGGTGGTACTGCTGTTGGCGGTAATGACGGTAATGATGGTGTTGGTGAGGATAGTGGTGGTGGTGATGAACTTTAATAGGAAGTTTCACTTCCACTGTACTTCTTGAAGGTCAAACCCTGTTCTCAGGGCTTTGTACACAGTCACTCATTCAACCCCGACCTCCAGAATTATTATTCCCCTGCTGAGGAGGCTGAGGTATGTGGAGGATAAGAAACTTTTCTATGTTCATAAGGTGAGAGGAGGCTGCAACAGCACACTGCAGTGCTTGGGTTGCAATATTCTTTCAGGGATGGAGAAGGAGGCGTATATGTGTCTTAGAAAAGCCTCTCATAGCAGGCGAGGGACTGTCTCAAATTGCCTTAAATGAGACACACAACATAAGCAATCAGAATGGCTGCCTTTCACTGAGTGGAGAATGTGATATAAACCTACAGCTCGCTTAGCATTTAGTGAGTTACTTCATAGTTAATGTTAGTTGCTAAATTCTATGCTGGATTTTTACACCTATGTTATATAAACTTATGCTGAATTCTTGTTATGGGTTTTTAGAGACTGTTTTCTTCAGAACCCATCCTCTACACATAGGAGAAAGCACACCATGTGTGCTTTAACTTCAGAGGAGGAAGAACAGCCCAGCACCAGGACCCTGGACTTGGCACATGCTGTGCTTCGCTCTTGTCCCACTCTTAAGTCGTCTCATCTCCTGTGCCCCAGGTGCCTTGTTACCAAGGAGATAAGAGGGCCCCTTGGGCTGCTCCCCGCTGACTCTACAGGATACGACATCACTGGCACAGCCCTTCCCTGGGGAGACTCCCCACGGATGACCCCTGTGCACAGAGATGACACCAGCCTCTTCTGGCTGTCACTGCCCCCCTCCCCGCTCTATCACTGGCCAATTAATCACTACACTGGAGGCAGCAGCTCAGTATGAGGCACTGAGAGCCAAATGCAGGAAGCAAGAAGAGAGTGGGTGTGAAATTGTTAGGGTAGTGAAGCAACGGGGTCTCCTCAGTCAGGGTTTTTATGTATTTGTATCATTTTCAATTTAAAATCCAGCAAAGTCTGGGGGAAAGGCTGGGATTTTAATTGTGCCACCAGATGTCACTGTTGAGTAAGTGTCTTCTGAAGTGTGCACGTTTCATTCAGCTGCTGCCTGTGGGGCTGGAGGGACAGCTCAGTGGTTCAGAGTACACTTTGCTTGTATGGAGGGCCTGAGCTCAATTCCCAGCATCCCTGATAGGAAGGCTTACCACTGCTTGTAACTCAGGTCCAGGAGATCTAATGCCATCTTCCTATCCCAGGCACACACACATATGTTGTGCATGCACACATAAATTAAAGCAGATAATTAGCAATCATAGAGATATCTGGACACAGCAGTTGAGATATTATAAAGTGAAAAAAATCCTTTCGCAAATGTTTCTTCCCTGACTGTATGTAGTGGATATAGTTACACTTGAAATCCTAGGAGAAGAAAGCCAACTTTTGACTTTCTTAACTTGATTTTTTAGTCCAAAAAGTCCAGAAAATGAATGATTGTGCATGCACACTCACACGCGCGCACACGCACACACTTGATCTTGAACAATTTAACTTTTGATACATCTCAGAAAGCACTAGTGTGTTCATCAAATAGGCCATTAATAATCACGTCTTTAAAAAGAAAAATCAAAATTACAGGCAAACAGCCAGGCATCTTTAATCCCAGCACTCAGGAAGCAGAGGCAGGAGGATCTCTGTGAGTTCCAGGCCAGTCTGGTGTACACAGTGAGTTCCAGGTCAGTCAGGAAAAAAAGTCCATGCAAACACACGCACACACGCAAGGCACACCTGAAGAAAGCTGAAGGCGGAGCCCTCCTGTCTTCCCTGACATCTTACGACCACACCACGTAAGGAGTTACGCATTGTTCCGCAAACACTCCTGCGTGGGAAGTAACTCCTCTCTCAAGAGTCATGTGTCTGACACATGCGCCTCTGAGGTAGTGCAACCGTAGGACTTTAAGAGATGGGCCCACGGGGAGCCTTTCCTGTACCCTTCTCATTCCCTGACTTCCGATCTGACAATGTGAACTCTCTCTCACACATGGTCCTTGCACTGAGCTGCCATCCACTATGAGGTGGTATGGCCAAGGTGGCTTTCACTGAGTGACACTATGCCGTTCAGAATCTCCGCCTTCCTACTTGTCATCTAAATCACTCCTGTTCTCGTGAGTACCGTATCAGGCATTTTATTAGAGTAATAAAAAAATGGATTAATTAGAAAGGACAGATGATCTACATTGTCTGTAGATAAGCGGGCGTATGCTGGGGCTAATGCTGCAAGGGCTCCACGGCCCTCAAGAGGAAGCACCCAGTGAGCTCGAGTTCATTCTCTCCCCACTCTTTAGCACGGGACTCACTTTTTGTAACACCAGGGGAACTTTCACTTCAGGGTCCTTCTTCCGGTCATTGTCCAGGAGGACTGTAAGCGGCACTCCGAAAATTCCACTGTCTGCAGTGAAAACGGCCAAGAGAGGAAGAAAACGCAAATGTCAGACCATGTCCTTGTGTTCCAGGGCCAGCGTTGAGGCCGGCAGCCCGGCTGGCTCACTAGTTACCTCGGCCTTTCCCCCTCTCCGTCTTGTTTCTTTTCAGTGGTATCCCGAAAGCATCAAAGAAGGCCGTCAATTCAATCAGAGAGAGATGGCGGATTTTCTTCATGTCTTCGGCAGACAGGTCTCCTGTTTCGGTCAACCCAAATCTGGTTTTCTGAACAATAAATTTCTGAAACACACAGGGAAGATATTTATTTTTGAAATCAAATGAAACCAGGACGTTCTAAATTTACATGATAAAACCTAGCGGAGTGGGGGGGAATACAACACCGAGGAGCACCCTGGACCACAGGAACTGTGAGTGGGGGGTTAAGAACACAGGAAGACCAAAGCCAAACAGTGGCCCGAAGGGTAGGACAGCATGACTGTGAGGGCCCTGGCACTGCCAACACTGCAGCTGTGGCTGCAGCCTACCGCTTCCCTCTTTCTGCGTTGGTGTGCATGTGCGCATTTATATGTGTGAGTGTGGGCATGCACGTCACAGCAGGCAGCGGCAGGTCAGAAGACAGTCTCAGCCCACAGTCCTTGCCTTTCACCCTCCTTGAGATGAGCTTTCTAACCGCAGGCTGTCAAGAAGGCCACACTAGGTGGCCTAGAAACTTCGGGGCATTCACGGGGCTCCACCTCTTGTCTCACCATCGGAGCTCTGAGATCGCACATGAACTCCGCTTTGCCCATCATTACATGGGTAATGGAGGTTCAGACTCGGGTCATCATGTTTGCACGGCAAGTGCTTCTAACCACTGAGCCACCCCCCCCCCCCCAACCCAGCAACTGCCGTCTCAGGAGGCCTGTACATACCACTGTCCTGTAATCTGAGTTACATGTGGTACCTACACGCACAACACATCTAGGCATATCCCAGGAGACACAGGGTGCTGGTGCCTGGCATCCCCAATTCCCTTATGCATAAACAGAGATGAAAAGCAATCCTCACATTGGCACAGGGAGCCTTCTCGGGAAGTTATTAGACTGACCGTAGAAGGTCTAACTTACAGTTAAGGCATAGTCTTCTTTTTTAATGTCTGACTTCTTCCATTTATTTCTGTTTGGGGCCTCGGTCACCATTTCTGAGTAAGACACCTCAAAAGACAGCTCTTCAGCCTCTGGCGGAATGTTCTTTTCTAGATAATCATCATCTAAAACAAAACAAGACAAAAAAACAAGAGACAAGAAATAAAATATAGCGTGGAACCAGTCTATGGCACTAGCCGCACAACAAATTACCAGTACTTACAAGGTAGCCCACGGGCATGCTGGAGGGCCGAAATCTGGGGAACAGAGCCTGGTGACATGGTGTCACTGACCTCTATGGACACATTTCTACCAGCATCCAAAACAACTGTCCAGTCTAACTTTTAAAGCTTTGAACTCTGACATGTTATGAACGTTTTTGAGGATTAGCGGCAATGGCCCCAAGAGTGCATTTCTCTCTATGCATGTGATACTGAAAGTAACATCTAGACCCGGCATTACTTACTGGGAGCCCAGAAGTTTAAAGAGCGAAAAATCAGGGAATCTCCCTAGAACTCCCCTCTACTCTCATAAACACAAACCTTCTCCTTTTAAACATTTATCCAGAGTGGACCTCACTGCTGCGTATGCAGGGTTATTCTAGATTTCTGTAATTCCATAGTGGTCTAACCTTGCAGGATGGACATTAAAAAGTACCCGACTGGGTGACGGTGTCAGGAATGTCCCACAGAGGTGCTTTTCTCTAGCTAGGCTGCAAATTAAGGCAAATCATTCCTTGGCCTAGACCAACACTAAGATTTTTGACACGACACCTTGTTTCTCTGCCTGGCAAATGTTTTCATGTGCAAAGTAGAGAATTGTCTGACTACAAACAGGACACCTTTCCTTCTGCTTTCTTCTTAGGACCCCGACTCAAGGTCAAGGAGATCAAAACGACGGAGTTAATCAGTAAGACTAACAAGAGACCCTCTTCCTTTGAAGTGCAAAGCTGGGTGGCCAGCTTACCAGTGAGCGTACTGCAGTTCTGGATATGAACACTAGCTGAGCCACCGCAGTACAGCCAAGGGCTGCAGGGTGGACTTGGGAAAGGGTAGAGGGAGGGTCGTGCAATTTCACTTCTGCGGAGGCAGGCTTACGCTCAGGACAGAGGGAAGGGGTTAAACAGTGCTCGGACTTTTGCGGATCTAGGATGGAGTCTTTGGAAAGTAACAACCAAGTGGGCAGATTCTCCAAGACCCTGGGCCACTGCGTGTGGGCGCCTGTCTCGGGTGGCATGGTTGCAACTAGGCCACAGGCAGTAAACGAACTGATGGGAAAGGACTTCTGGCAGGTCTCTCCTCTCGTTTATTTTATTTTTAGCATCCACATTATTGAAAAACAGTTCTCATGTCGGGCAATTCATCATTTGATGTATGAAGTCGATGGCTTTTCCTGTCACAGCTGGACAGCTAGAACCATGATCAATTCTAGAGCACTTCCATCAATTCCTCCCTGCATCTGGATGCAAATGGTCAAGATATAGGCTGTGTATCCCTAAGTTGAGAAGGGCATTTCTCAAAAAAATAGGAATCACAAAGACGTGGCCTCGAGGCTGACCTTGGAGCAGGAGGATCACATTCTTAGTGTCTCAAGTAGCTGAAGCTCAGATGAGAGTCAGCTCTTAAGCTTGGCTGTCAGAAGCAGCTCAGGGTTAATGTACACTTCCTCAGGAACTGGGAGCCTTGATGGAGGCTGCTTCTTGGCCTCCTTGGAACATCTGGTTATAGCGTGGCGCTTATAGGGAGGCCTAACTCAAAGCCACTGTCTGAGTGAGAAACTCCTACTTCACGTGCCAACATGCGAAGAAAAACTTTGTGTCTCATTTAGCTGGGCTAACATTGTCTGCTGTAACAAAATGGGCCATTTGGAGGCGAGGCAGGGAGTGCTGGAAGCAAAAGAATCATAGCACATATATTGTTGGGCAGAGGCAAGGATGGGGTGAGATATACTGACGAGCAGGTGGGCACAGTGGGGTAAGACTACAAAGTTCCGAGTTACTCTTGCCAAGCATGGTGACTGGGATGAGAATAATATCTTGCATGTTTCAGAAACCGGTGAGAAAGGAACTGGGAAGCTTTTGCCGCGAAGAAATGATATGTGTTTGAGAGCTAGAGAAGTTCAGCCTGATACAGACATTATCCAATGGGTGCGTGCATGGAAACAGAGGTACCTCACCAATAAGTCCCGTGCATACTGATGGTGTTACACAGTCAATGCACTAAATAACGAAAAAGAAACTCACGACTAACTGCATTGACGCCAGACCCCAAAGGAGTAGGGACAGCATATGCTCACCAGGGGACAGGCCACTCACCACTCAAGGCGCTCAGGACTGGCGGCTCAGCGTCTGCAGATCCATTGGTGTGAACGGGAATATCTGGGATAGCCTCTAGTATTGACTGCCAAGCCAGGAAAGAGAGACAAAAGACATTTTACCACAAACACAGTGAGGCTTCATCTCTTACAGTTTTGGTTATAAGCCTAGTTTTTAAGAGCTGAGCCATCTCTCTAGCTTGACCCTTCCTCTCAATCGGATTTGTGTTCGGTGATATATGAATACTTTTCACAAAGAGACATCGAGGTCTCGTAGATGGTCGGCAGTGACCACAGTTGTTTCCACCATTAGTTCAGATGGAGGCCGCTTACCCAAGCTCCTCAGAGAACTATGCTGGAGTACTCATAACTAACCCTTCCTTCTTTGCTCATATATTTACCTGCTTCTGCTAAGATGTAAAAACTAGAATGATTGATGACATATTTGATAAATGGCCCCTGCTAATCTGGATACATTCTATCTTAGTTACATCAGTTATATTGCTAAAATTAATATATCAACTCTCTCATTGTGAAATACAGAGTAATAGCAACTAACAAAAAAGTGAACCATCTTCCCAGATGTGGTGGGTACCTGACTGCAATCCCAGCTCTCGCGAGGCAAGGCGGGGGCAGTGGCGGTAGTGAATTTACAGGCCAGTCTGATCTACATAGTGGATTGTAGGCCAGCCTGGTCTACATAGTGGGTTCCAGGTTAGCCTGGTTTACACAGTAAGATCTTGTCTCAAAACAAATACACAAACAACAATGACAATAATAAAGCTCTAAAACAATAAATTATCTTTTATAATCCTATTTCTTTTCTTAGTGTGGCTCCTTCCTCACAAGGAAATCCTGCCACTGCTCTGCACCCCACTTGTGCCATCAGAAGCTGAGTGTCTCTCTTTATAGAGTCCTGCAAAGTGAGCTTCTGCTCATGTCTGGAAGGGTACCAGCAAAGCACATACCGGTACCAGCAAAACACACACACACACACACACACACACACACACACACACACACACACA